AGTGTGGTGAATATTAACCTAAAACTGATTTTGTTAATTTAATGTTATTTAAAGTACTTTTATGGAAGATCACCAAGTGATTTGATTATTTAAAACATAATTACTACGTAATAATTAAAATATGTAAGAGCAATTTGTATCTAATCTAATCAACTTATTAACTCTTCAATATTTATTAATTCATAAATTTTGCAATCATCAAAAATTTAACTAAAGGAAATGCTCTTAAAAATTAAAAGAAAACCGAACGAAGAATATTTTTAGGGCGAAATATTTAAAATATTTAATATTTTCAGCCTGATGATTGGGCGAGAAGGGAGGAAATGATCGCAAAAGATATCCTGGGAGAGAAATAAAAGAAGAAAGGATGGATAACGAAAGGACGCGGCTCGACACGGAACTGCACCCACCTCGATAAAATATACACCACTCGATATCTATTATTACTATTACGTTCTCGTGACGGTGGTGCTGTTCGTGTCATAAAGTATGAACGAACGCAACAAGAGAAATTACTATCGCGACCCGAGGTAAGTAGTAATTTATGAGGAACAATAGGTCGTGAAAAAGAGCGGGTGCAACCGGTACGCTCGTTTACCTTCGCGCCACTAGGTCACACGGTATTCTCCTCTCTCCCGTGTCAGATCGATACCAGGAATTCTTTTCCATTACGCCACGAGATAATCGATTTTCTCTCCGATGGAAAGCGCCCGCCGGCGTGTATACCTATAAACCGCATCCCGCCAAGAAACAGAGAGAAAGCAGACAGACAGAGAGACGGATTGCGGTTCGCGACACAAGGCTGCGGCTCGATTATTGAAATTACAAAACGGGAATAGCACGATCCGCAATAACGTGGCTTTAATGAACGTCGTTTCGTGGCATGCCTCGTGAAGGCAAACTTCTGCTACCAGTCTTTGGATATAATGGAACACCTGTACACACGGATTCTAGTTGGGATTTAAATTATCCGTCGTTTCGTTTATCTGTCTGCGCTTTGATTTCGTTTTAATTATTTAGGAAATACGTGAAATTGTAAAGGGTGAACAATTCGAACGGAGGAACAATTCGAGATCAAATTTTTATACGATAGATCAATATTAAATATGGGGGGAAAAAAGTGTATGTATCATGAACAGGATCTTGATAATCTATGATAATAAATCTTTGGACTACAGTTTCGTTCGGAAATGCCAATGTATACCTGTATGTATATAGGTAGGTGGAAAAAAATTATTGATTTCTGATCCTTTCGAGTTTTAAAATTTCCAGGGAGGAGTAATTTTAGATTTTATATAATAGAATGAGATAGCAATCCTGATCATAAAAAAGATTCATGATAATAACGTAAAAAATAATTTTCAATATATCTTAACTAAAAAATTATTCTCTTAAAAGTTTTAGTCCAATTTATTCCAACACGATTTTTATCGTTATTTCTATGTATGCAAAATCTTATTTCTCGAAAAAACAAATTTATCTCTAATTAATAAATAATCCTAAATATAATTTTTGAAATGTTCTGTAAATGCGGATCGTGTTAAGAAAGTGAAAAGAGAATCTTGAAATCCCGTTTTCGATCCTTTCTTTCCAACTGTTAAACTTTAAAACCTATTGTTCTGTGCATGATGAAAACATATGCAGTACAAAAAGAGCCGAGTAAAAATTGAATGGCAATTCCATTTTTACGTGCAATTTTATTTCCATTTTCAATCGAACTCGACAAGTCACGAAGGTACAAGAGGAAGAAAAAGAAAGAAAAGTTTCCACTCGAGAAATATAGAAACAATTGTTATCGAATCAAGTCTGATCGATTGGCTTCGGTTACGGTAAATAAATGATAAGCTTAATTCGTATCGGAGAGTTTCTTCGAGCACCTCCGAACTGAAGGCAGAACAAAAGCTATATTTCTGATTTACGATCGATTCCATCACGTGTGTATCATCTCGTGATTGCGATAGTCACGTTAACCCTTTACACTATCACTTGTCGATCGAATTCGTACAGAATAAATAATTGAGAGGCAAAATTGAAAAACGTATTTGCAAGAAATACACTATTTTTTAATAAATTTTTTAAAAATCTTTATAGAGGTAATATTTTCCAGAAATAAAAAAAAATTATTAAAATTTTCCTCGGAGTAATGTACCGTTAATTATATAAGAATAATCTATTGATGATTTAACATTTGATTTGATTTAACATTTTATTTTACATATATATTATTAGTGTATACATATATATTAAATTATTTATACTATATACATATACATATGCATCTGTAAATTTTTCGAATGTAAAGGATTAAAATTGACATATACAGAATGCGAACGAAAATACAAACAAACGATCGTGCGCAGAAATTACGATTGAAGATTGATCATGTAAAAATATCGATGAAAACGAAGGTTAATTTATATAAATTAGTCCTCCAAAAAGAATTAAAGAGATAAAAAATCGCTCAAATAAACAACTGATAAATCAACATATTCGACTAAATATTCGACTAAATATAATGATATACATACTTCTTCTAATTAGAGATCTTTTACGAGGGTAGTTTAACCAATTACGTTTCCAGTTAATGTATTGTACGAATAAACAGAAGCAAAATTTGGATCAGCATAATTAACTCGTATCGTAGATATACTCGGATCGTAGATATTTGTATCCTTCAATATAGATATAATCGTTATAGAATTATTATTTATGGATGAAAGACACAGATAATGCAAAAAATATATTGCATTGATAATGAAAATTTCGAATTTTATATATTTCTTTTTAGTATTCTAATAATGAATAGAATAATAATAAATGTTAATAATGATCTACCATGAATAACAAAATTTTACATCAAATTTTTTTTAAATATCAAAATAAATTATCAATATTCTCTTTACTTTACAAAAATTTTCATATGTTTATTTATTTCCTATATATAATGTATATAAATATAAATTTTCAATTTAATGGAATCATAACTAATGAAAATTTGTCAAATAAAAATTGTCTTGATATTAAAATCTTTAAAATTTTGATATTTATCCAATATGCAATTTAGACATAATTTCATGCCATAATTGGAATGCTGATAAAATTTATAAAATACTCATAAGATAGCGAATAAATAGTATACATAGTATATAATAATATATATGTGCTATACAACATTTTGCTATATTCTCATGATGTTCGTGGAAAACACCATATTGTTTACGAGGTAACGAAGGGGAACAACGACGAAAAAACGCATTTATCGCGAAAGCAAAGTGTTATTGGTAAGTGTTTCAACAGTTTCTCACGCAGGAAAGCTGATGCAACGCGTGTTTTCTACTCATGTGCATTGGCGAGTCAAAAAATGGCAATGCGGATTATAAAAGAGAAAAGATAAGAGGGTCAAGTGTCGGTGGTAGCATACAACAGCGAGGCAGTGACGTATAGAGTTATAACGTTATAGCAATGGCAAAATTGGGGCAGCGTCGCTGAAAACGCCGCTTCATAAATTTAAAGTGCGCGCGATATTAAGCTCTCGCGCGCATTAATATGAACCCTTCGACCGAGGCTCAAGAACAACGCTAACTGGCCGGCCATAGAAAGATAAACGCACACATGCATTCTGTTCCTGACCTTGTTTTCGAATTCCTCGCAGTTCCGGATATTAAACGATAGTTGTAGAACACGAAATGATTTTGCGAATCGAATGTACTTTGAAGTGTTTGGAAGATGAAAACAAGGTTAAAAATATACAATATCTATACAAACATAGAATACGAAATGGAAAAATAAAACTTTATTAATTCTAAATTTATCCCTAAGGCGGATTTTAATGATAAAGATATATCCTTCTTCATAGAAAAGGAACAGACATAAGAATATATATAAAATAAAAAAAATATAAGTTACTAATTTATATTAAATTTCTTTGTTGTCTTTTATTATCTGACACTCTGCATTGCAGTCAAAAATATATTACGAACTAATTGTATTTTAATTATATTTTAAAATTTGCATATACTAAAAGGCATATCGTGTACCCTGTATATATAATGTAAAGTGTTCATGTAGATATATGTTTGTATATCTAACATAATTATTTTCAATCACGATGTTTATTTAGGCAAGATCGAATGCATAGAAAGTGAACACGCGATAAACGTCCTAAAGAAAATAAACAATTGCATCGATAACTTGCATTAAGGAACCGATCCGATGTTATATGAAAGTAAAAGTGCCTATATTGCGTGCTCACCAGCTACTTGTGAACCATAGTTATAAATACATTGTGAAGTGAATTTTATGAACTATTAAAGAAAATTGTCATCAATTATATTCCATTAACAAAAAAAAAGAATTTTTATTCATGGATTCTTCGATATTATATACTTATTAAAAAATAAAACGAATTTATGCATATTAGTTAAATAATAATTTAGAAAAACAAACCTCTTGATCGACAAAATATAGAGAAAAATAAGATATTATTTTATTTCATTTTAATAGTTTTATGATATATTCAATCTTCCATTTTATTTGAATTGTATCTTTGGTAACACAAATTAAATATATATTTATGATCGAATGTTTCAAACTCATTTAAACAACTTATAACTAACTTCAATCCGTTAATCGAAAAATATAACCAATCAAAAACGATATTCGATCTTCATTTTATCGATATATCGCTGTCAGCCAATTAAGATTCGTTTCATTATGGTTCATTTTACCGCGTTTTGAATTCCATTAATTTGAATAAAGTATTTCGCATAAATAGCTATTGTAGCATTGCACAGATTACAAAAATAAATTTAAAACCATGCTTATCTCTTCTAAATTGTGAAAATAAGAGTAAGCATTCGATGCTTTCTAACTAGATATATTAATATCTGGAATTTCATTGGCTCCAAAACGCGACATATCAGCTAGCCGGTAGTGATCATACACGACAAAAGACGAACTAGGAACGTCATATAGTCATAAATGAAATACAATAGACTCACCTCTTCAGCAAACTCGAAATCCCCATCAAATTTTCGCTTACACCTCGCCTCGGTGACTAGAACTAGCAGCACCGTGGCTACGAACATCCAGGAAAATCGCATGGTTCTTGTTTCCGCGGGAGAACACCGTCCACCGTGAACTGACGAAATGAGATGTCGCGCAAATTCCTGCAAACACGTGCACCGTCTCGATTCAAAAACTATGAACAAAAGATTTCCGCGAATGATGACAGCAAAACGATGAAAAGGCGCGCACGTCAACTTCGACACGTTCGTTTTCCCGTTTTCCACAAAGCGGAAGCGTCCAGTTCGACGGTCGAACGAGTTGTGACTGCGCGAACAGAGTCGAGGCGACGCCGCACTACCACAGACGCGTAGCCGCCTATTGGTCGGATTCCGGCGGATGAAGGGAAGGGGCGGTGGAGGCTGCAGGAGGATAGCTATATAAACCGGACTACCCTTCTCTCTCTGTTCCTTTCCCATGGACTACGTACCTCGATGACTCTCCGGTAGCAAGATTCGCGCGAGCGCGTAGTATACTGCGCCAGTCAATACCTCCACCTGCTCTCGGTTCACCTAGCTGGTGTTGCCAGTGAGTTGACGAGAAAAAAGGGCGCGGGGAATTCGGCAGGAGGGCACTAAGAAGGAATCCAGTTTCGCATCAAATATTCGCTCAGAACTAACCTGGCAAGATTCTTTTTTTTCGTATCATTCTTTTTTTATTTCTGTATTTTTTCGAACTCACATCAAATTAGAAGTTTTTTGACAGATGATTTTAAGCTCGTCACAAATCTTCATCTTCAATGCTTCATCTCGTTTTATTACAATGATGTTGCAGTGTATTTCTATGGAAAGAAAAAACTTGTTAAATTTATTAAACATAATCATAATTAAAAAATATCATAATAAGAAACTAAGAATTATTGTTATTTAGAAATGTAGACATAACAAGAAGATAGACATAGAATATAGAATATATAACACCTAAAGTATTATATAAAATAATGTGAAGTTGGTACATGTTTTTTTTTTCGATCTAGAATTAAGTTCCATAATTTAATTGAAAATGAATTTCACTATTTCTTTATTTTTTAGACTAATGTATTAAAATAGCTATTATAAATAATTAAAAAGAGAATTAACGATTATTAACAATTATATAAAAGGATGTTTATTACGTACATGTAATATAAATTATTACGTACATATAACTTTTATGCAAATTTATGGAAAAAATGATGGGAATAAATTGAAATAGTAGAAATAATACAAAATCGAATAATCAATCAGAAAACGATCATTAGAATATTCATAAACATCCTCAAGCATTTAAAAAAAAATCTACAACGAATTTTCTCAAAAAACAATATAAGCTCAAACATAAAATTAAATCGTTACTGTTATCAAGTTTTTAAGGAAAATTAATGTTATCACGATGTGATTCTCAAATAATGGCACAATAGAATGTATCTATGTATAGTATACTTTTAGAACTTACGTTCAAGATTTTAGTAGCATAGAATATAAGTGGCAGGTACTTTCTAGCATTCCTTTAAGTTTCATCCTTTCTTTGAAGGTACTTAAAGACATAAAAGCAGACCTGTATTTCGAGTGGAAAGTTGTCATGGCAATTTGTCTTACTATTTTCTTACTGTACAACCTACACTATATCTTAACCCCCACCTTTTCCTCACCGAGCTATTTTCCTCGGGTAGAGACATTTCCCATGGGAGTAGAAACTAGAAAGACAACGTCACGTAGATATCTTCTTTACAAAATAGATCACATCACCGAGAAAGACAAAAGGAAAAATATTATTAAACTAACGCAATCACTATTTCATATTTATTAAATATTATCTCTTTTGCTTTTTAACTTTCTTACAATATTATTTATTAATTACAACTTGATAAAGCAAAATCGCAAAATTAAAATATGATATACGTATATATATTGACTATTTATGAGATATTAATGAGATTCACTATTTTTCTATCAAAATTTTAAATAATCATAATTTTTTGATTATTACAAAAATGTTATTAAAATATATTAATAATTTAAATTTAATTATTAACTAATTAATCATCTATTTTTAAATTTTTTTAAATATTTCAAAGTAAATAATATAAATTTTCACAATATAATTTTTTTTACATATTTATTTTTATAATTTTATAATTATATTTTTAATAATATCTTATTATATTATTTTTTATTATTATTCTTATTATTTTTCTTATTATATTTTTAAATATAAAATTATCAAAAATGAATAATAAAAATACATGATTTAAAATCTTTAATGAAATTACAAATTAATTTATTATTACATTATATCTATAATGTAAGGAAAATAAAAATAAATCTATTTATCTAGAATATTCTATTCTTGGATACTGATGGAAAGCTGCATCACAACCTTATAAGAGTATATGTAATTTCTATTATATATTATTATTTGTGTTCATGTACGTACAGTACAGTAACAAGATAATTTGATACATAGTTAAAAAATACTTAGAAAACTTTGTACATACTTTCCAATTCGATAATTATAAATATATTAAAATAAATAATAATAAGATACATAAAGTTTAGTTTTAATAATTGAATAATTGCTTGTTTCGGTACTGCAAGCACATGCTATATCATTTAAATATAATCTATAACTATTGAATGTATTAAAATTTATGCAGCAGTATTCCATTATGTGCCCTAAAAACAAGCAAGTGTGTGCAAACATCAAAGGATGCATTGATATGAGAATATCCCTTTATTCTCATTTAAGATGCACGTAATGCCATTTATTGACTGAAATCAAATATAAAAATTTAAGTAATTAATATTAAAATTTTAAAATAATTATTTAATGCCATAGAAAAAATATATACAACAAATAATAATATAGATAGAATTAATTAATAATATTTTTGGTATCTTGAGTTATATATTTATAATTTATGTTGCAATAATTGAATGAAATGAAATTTATTAACTGTAAATAAATATTATTAATGTTATATGTTATTTAAATTTGATTAATTTAAATATAAATGAATATTGATATAAATGAATATTTCTAACTTACCAATAGGATCTACTGATTGAGGTTCTGATAGTTCTGCAGCTTTTTCCAATACTTCTTCAGCAGTTTCTATAGTAGTTTTAAATGGACTACCTGATATAGTTGTGTTAGTACTGTAAATAAAATTTGTATTTGTAATTTAATTTTAAATACATTTTTTGAATGGAATATTTGAAGAATTTACAAACCATGCAATTCCTCCTGCAGGAGCTTCTCGTTTAATAAGATTTTGCCAATGCTGATGTACTTCTTCCACAATATGTAAAGCAAAATCTCTCGATTTTGCTTCACCATTGAATGCAAATTGATTCTCTGGTTTACCATCTGGTATTTTGTAAATCTTGAACCATTCAATAGTAGCTTTCATTAATCCTGGATAATGTTTTTCAATGTCAGATACATCTATAAAATATATTATAAATTTTGAGATTATATATAATTGATAATCAAGTATCATTATCAGAAATAATCCTTACCATTCATTTGTTCTGCCAAGGGATCATTGACATCAATAACAATAATCTTCCAATCAGTTTCACCTAAAATCAATAAAGATAAGATAATACAACGAGTAATTCTTAAATATTCAATATTATTTATTCATTCAATATTACATACCTTCATCAATGAGTGCAACACAACCTAAAACTTTTACTTTTAAGATTTCTCCTCTTTTTGCAACCTAATAATAAATATTTTATTTATTAATTTAATAAATATTTTATTAAATAACTAAATAACTAAATAATTTTTTAAAATGTTCTTACCTTGTATCCTATTTCAAGGACATCAATGGGATCATTGTCTCCTTTGCATCCAGTGGCTTCATCTAAAACTTCAGGATTTTCCCATGTCTATTTATAAGAAAAATGTTGCATATAAATATCTCATCTTGCAAATATATTTAACAAAATATTTAAATACAAAAAAATATTAATTAATTAAAGGAATATAAAATAAAATAGAGAAAAAAATTAATCACTTTACAATAAATAAAAATAGTATAGATAATAATAGCCTTGAACTGAGAGCTTACATAAGCTTTGATAAGATTGTGTTCACACACTTTAGCAAAACATGTATGTATAGAAAAATTTATGTGCATGTTTGATCCATGCAATCATTCATTTTCTTCAATGAATTAATACTAATGAAATTGATGACATCATTCTATAAATGTGAGATATCACAAAAGAGGAAATATATCATTTTTTGCTGATCACATTATAAATATAAATTCTTTTATGTTTTAATTTTTTTTTTGATATTGATAATATTTTCTTTATATTGATAAATCTATTGCTAATAAAATTTTATTAAAATACCTGTGGCAATGCACCATAATTCCATATATATCCATGATGAGGAAAACAATTAGCAACATATCTTAATTTGCCTTTTTTAACATCTTGTTTAATAGGATTTAAAGTTTCTTTAAGATTAATCTCCATCTTTGCATTTGTCCATCTTGGTATTTCAACAACCATATTTAATATTTTATTACTTTCATCAGCATAAAGTGGAATGTCATGCATGGGTGAAATTGGGCCAACATCATTTCCTATAACAATTAGCTTATTCATTAAAGAATTATATAAATAATTCTTCTATAAATTAATATTTTTATAAAATATATAAAAATATAATAGCACAAAAAATATTTGAAAAAATTTTTAAAACAAAATCATTAACAATGTAAATAAAAAGTAATTAAAAAGATATTAGAATAATCTGAATTGATATTAAAATATAATTAATTTAATGAGATTTTAATAAAGAAATTAATTAGTAAGATAATAAAAGACAATAAAAGATTAAAAAAAATGAAAAAACAATCGATTATAAACTATTTGAAAAAAAGATGAAGTGAAAGTAAGCACATGTCTATCAAAAATAATTTTCAAATAAATTATTAATAATAATTAGAATATTGATTTAAAATTAAAAATTAAATTAATATTCGTAAAAATATATATAAATTACGCATATATATATAAGAAATAGAAAATTTTTTATAATATTAAAAGAATTCAAATCCTTTCACCAAAACTATGTCAGGTTATAAAACTCTTATTAAAATAAAAAAATTTTAATTATAAACATATGAATTTATTTTAAATATATTAATAAATATATTTATTATTAAATATAGTTTTCATATATTAAAAAATATAAAATATTTGCAGAAAAAGCAAAACTTACAAAAAAAATTTATCCCTAATTTAGCATACGAAAAAATTTGATTTTAATTTTTAAATTAAGAACGATACAAAATGAAAAAATCATGTTAAAAAACATAAGGTCACATAATAATATGTTCAAAAATTTTAATGAAGTCTCTGATGACGACATGCTAGTTCAATCGTTAAAAAAGTCATGATATGGGAACATTGATTCAATTTTAAGGTTATGTTATTAAATACTTACTGAAATAAATTCTATAATCAGTGCTATTTAGTGCACCCCTTTCGATAGTTGTATATGACATTTTTTTTGCGTATTTTTCAAACACAGAACACGATCGTGATTTAATAAGACTACCGGTTACTGTTAATTTCAGCGGATTGGCTAATTTATTTAAACCACGGCAACGTAACACGTGCAGCGTTAATACCGTCATCCTGACATCTAACGATGAAATTACATAGTAAAATTTTGTTATAACGTGACAAGAAATGAAGTTTTGATAACATATCGCTTATAATAATTACTCATTGATATACATCCAAGAAATTAATCAAACAAGATAAATGTATTAGTAAGTATATATATTTATTGAATGAATTGATGCTTCTGTTGTAATGTATATGCAGAGAATTAATAAAATATAGGCAATCAATTTTATGCAGAAAAATACCGTATATCATTTTATTCAAAATTATCGATAATATGTTGGATAACATTATAGTTAAATATTTTTTTTGCAAAATTTGCGTTTTAATTTTTGAATCATCAAAAATTCTTATAATTATTTATGTGAAAACACTATTTTCAAAATTTTAATCAAATTGAATATGACAAATTTTCGGAAATTTCAATATAATTAATGATTTTATTAATATAAATATAAATAATAATTAACAATTATTATTTATAAAATAATAATAAAATAATAAAAAAATTAAGTTTTTTGATAAAAAATAAAGAGGAAAAATAAACGAATTTAACGAATTAATGCATTACATTAATAAATTATAAAATTAATAATAGAATATTGAAAATTATAACATTTAAATAGTTCATATTAAAATATTTCTTTGATATTAATAACTATCTACATCATTATATATGATTTTTTAAACTTAATCTTGCTCACTTATAGTAATGGAGAAAAATAATGATAACATTTTATAAAATTTTGTATTATATATTTTGAAATATCGATCTTTGAACTCAATAGAAGAAATCAAATTAGAGTTTCTAGCATGCTATAATCTAAATTACATACACTCTTCTGAATCAAACGACTTTTTTCATAAATGAGAAACAGATTAGACATGACATCTTACGGAATTTTTATTATATGTTCTAACATATCGATTTCAATCGATAAATATATATAAATATATTAAATTATAAATAATATGCATAATAATATTTTTATAATAAATGATAGTAATAATAAAAATATTTCGTTAAAATTTATTTTTAATCCTCATTTAATAAAAGTAATTTTTTTTTAATATACATAATACTATGGAACTATTATTTTAATTATTTGTTTCATATAGTTTATCATATATAAATATAATTATGTATAAAGTATGTGTAAATATATATTTATATACTACAAGATTCTAACAGAACGGAATATTTTTTTTATTTGTAATTTTATATTAAAATTTAATTTTAATTTCACTTATTACTAATGCAATGTTGTTTTGAATCGAATCGATAATATTAAAAATAATACTAAAATGATAAGGGCATTCAATATTGCTTCTTTGTTTCATTCATAAATAAAAAAATATATTAAACTTATAGTTAGATCTATTCTATATGATAATATTCTATATATTTCTTATTTAATTTTGATTGATATGATTTCGATATGATTTATATTCAATCATTGCAATAAAAATATGATTTATTTTCTTAAGCTATTGATTTTATTTATTGTATTTTAATCAAATAACAACACTTTTGATATATTTAAAAAATTAATATTCTTCCTCATCTTCTGTATTAGTTGCATCTTCTTGAACTTCACGATAATCTAATTCCAAAGCAGCTAAATCTTCTCGTGCTTCTGCAAATTCACCTTCCTCCATGCCTTCACCAACAAACCTATAGTTTAGAATAATTTATTTCATTTATATATATATTTTTATGTTTTAATTTATATATATATATATATATATATATATATATATATATATATATAAATTTAAATTGATATAAAAAAAGTTATAAATATTAATTTACCAATGAACAAATGCTCGTTTAGCGTACATTAAATCAAATTTATTATCGATTCTAGCCCATGCTTCAATTATTGCAGTAGTATTACAAAGGCAACATACAGCTCTTTCTACTTTTGCAAGATCACCTCCTGGTACTACAGTAGGTGGTTGATAATTTATTCCTACCTATATAAGAAATTAAATTTTTTATTTGAATAAAATTTGATTAAAAATCAATCTTTATAGAAATTAATGTTTTATAAATAATTTAAAATATTTTTATTTTATTTTTTTTTTATAATTATATTTTATATTATTTATATTCTAATTTATATATTTTAAATTATTATCATATTATTATCATATTATTATCATATTATCATATTCTATTAATTAATTAGCTATTATTATATTTTAAATTTTAAATTCATATTCTATTTTTATCTTATCAGACAAACCTTAAAACCAGTCGGACACCATTCAACAAATTGAACATGTTTTTGCCTTTTAATTGTTGCAATTGCTGCATTTACATCTTTAGGAACAACATCTCCTCTATAAAGCATGCATACCGCCATATATTTACCTCTACGCGGATCACAATTCACCATTTGATGATTTGGTTCAAAACAGGAATTCGTTATTTCCGCTACTGTAATTCTTTCATGACCAGCTTTTTCAGCTGATATAACAGGAGCATAAGTTGCCTATACAACAATTTTATCATATCTTATTAAAACATTTGTAAATATAAAATTTGAACATTTATAAGTATGATAACATTATTACATAAGTATGACATTTCAAATTAAATTATTAACTTACAAGAGGAAAATGTATACGTGGATATGGTACTAAATTTGTTTGAAATTCAGTAAGATCAACGTTAAGAGCTCCATCAAATCGTAAACTTGCTGTTATAGATGAAACAATTTGTCCAATTAAACGGTTTAAATTAGTGTATGTTGGTCTATCAATGCTTAAGTTTCTTCTACATAATTCATAAATGGCCTGGAAAACGTTACGAATCATTATAATAAGTTGATGCAAAAAATGAAATTATTATAACTCTCCTCTTATATATATGTACAAAAAATGAAACTTTAATTTATTTTTAGAACATATATATTTATATTTTTTTTAGAGAATTAAGAGAATTAAGATATATATGTACAAAAAATGAAACTTTAATTTATTTTTAGAACATATATATTTATATTTTTTTTAAAGAATTAAGAGAATTAAGAAAATATAATTTGAGAAGAGATACGCAAAATTTTTCAAGTAAATATTATTTACGAAATATAGTATTACGAAATATATTAAGAATTACATTCTTGTAATTATATTATTGTACTGTATTTATATATATATTTTATATATTTTATTTTATATATGTATTTATATATTATTGTATTGTATTTATATATTGTTCCTAAAGATGTAAATGCAGCAATTGCAACAATAATATAATTACAATATTATTTATTTTATATGAAATTGTAACTTCTATTATAATAATTTTAAACTTAAGCTATATATAACTGTAAATCTATTACTATAAAGATATTGAATAACATTACATACTTGATTGTCAACTATGAATGCCACTTCACAATGTTCTAATGTTGGATGTGTATAAAGAATCGCATTATATGGTTCTACAACAGCAGTTGATACCTGACAAATATTCATGTAGTATATAATTATTAATTATATTTACTTATATATTATATGCTCTTTACCTGAGGTGCAGGATAAATGCTAAAAGTCAGTTTACTTTTTTTAGGATAATCGGCGGATAATCTTTCCATAAGTAAACTCGAAAAACCTGAACCTGTACCTCCACCGAACGAGTGAAAAATTAAGAAACCTTGCAAACCCCTGCATCGTTCAGTAAGTCTACGAATTCGATCTAAAGTGAGATCTATAATTTCTTTTCCTAAAAATATATATTTATCAATTATCAGAAGAATAATGAAATAAAATTTAATTTTCTGTTAATAAAACATTGCGTAATATACCTATTGTATAATGACCACGAGCATAATTATTTGCGGCATCTTCTTTTCCTGTGATTAATTGTTCCGGATGAAATAGTTGTCTATATGTGCCGGTACGAACTTCATCTGAAGTTTTATATGAAAAATTTATATAATTTTAATTTTACAATAATATTATTTGTTAATCAAGTAAAAATCGAATTTTTTAGTTTTTAACAAAACTGAAAATTAATACTTTTCGATTAATAACTTGCCTACTACTGTTGGTTCAAGATCGACAAAAACAGCTCTTGGAACATGTTTTCCTGAATCTGTTTCAGAAAAAAATGTGTTGAAAGAATCATCCCCATAACCAACAGTGGTATCACTGGGCATTTGCCCATTAGGTTGAATTCCATGTTCCAAGCAATATAGTTCCCAGCACGCATTACCCATTTGAACACCAGCCTGTCCAATATGAATAGATATGCATTCCCGCTATAATAATATAATATATTTAATTATATTTAATATTATTATTAATTAACAATTGCTTTCAATCGAAAAAAAATAAAAAATGTACTAATTTAAATTTTTAAAGAGATTAAAGATATTTTTAAGTGTTAATAATTAAGAAAAATTAATTATAAACTATTAATTTTGTCTAAAATTTGAATATCATACCTTTTTCGCCATTTTTTCATAGAATATTCTTTACAATTAATAATTAGTAATTTTATTTAAATAATTATGTTTAATAAAAAATAAAAAAGTCGAAAAAATGTTTAAAAATAACATTTAAATGTATTTTAGAATTATCTATGCCATATATCCCCTTTATTTTTTTTATTTTATTGTAGATTAATGAAATATTTATCTTATTATAAATTATTTATTTGTGTACAAATGTTTTTTTTCTTATTAAACATTTCGAATATAAATTATACAAGTTCTTCTTCTTCAAAAACATAAAGAAATACCTTTTATTATTAAAAATATATGAAATAATATTAAATCGAATTTTTCCAATCGAATCATTTAAATAATTTAATTCATTTAAATATTGAATCACTTATTGTTAAATTTAACGTTTTTAAACTACTTCAGTTAATGCACTCCACACAATGTGATTACGAACTGATATGTTAAAATTCTATCGACAGTAAAGTAATTTTATATCTGTCAGTAAATTACAGCTTTTTTACCTTGACCTATTGTATCATCATTTATTAATCATGATCTAAAAAAGAAAGTCACATCGTTGTAAAGATAGATTCATCGCTGCTTTGCACATAAAACATAGATCATACACACTTCCGGAATGCATATATTTTACATTCTCTATATCATGCTAAAAATCGATTTTTATAGGTTGACATATAGTAACCATAGCAGCTTAATCGAATATTGTTTTATGCGTGACACAATTTTACAATTTTGCAAATAGATGATCTTTGCGCGAAAAAAAAAAATGATTGATAATTGATTTCCTTTTTATATGTATATAAAGAGAGAAACAAATTGTGTACAATTATAAATATATTTATTAAATACAAATTAAACAATTTAAAACAATTAATTTTAAAAAAAAATTTATTTATTTCAATTATATAAGTATTTAAAAAGATTAAATATTTATACATAATAACATTAAATAATTTATGTTAAAATATCATTATCAAATAAGTAATTGCGTTTCTTTCATCATTTTGCAATATAAATATTTTGTAATGTTTTTTTTAAACATATAATAGCAAATCTAATGATTTTATATAAAATTATTTTAAAATTGTGAAATATTAATTATAATGAAGTATTAATTATAGTTCAATTATTAATATTTTAAGTATATATTTTTTGAAAACAACAATAAATATTATTATTTATATAATGCATAATATAATAATAATGCATAATTTATGCTTATATAATGCATAAATTTGAATTTATATTCAAATTAGAAGGTTTAAATATATAAATTAAAATATTATTTATTTATTATATTTTGTATCATAGTAAAAATTTTTCAATTTTTTGAAATATTTTTCCAGTTATAATATTCGTTGTATTCATGTTTCTATCTTAACTTGGGAAACTGTTTTGTTTAAGATTTTCTATTGACAGTTTTCTAATCGGTCGATTAAAAGAAAGTATGATACATTATAATTATACAATACCTTGGCTATAGACGATATTAATATTGCATAGTTTTGCATTATAATTTCCTAACTGTCGTAGAAATTTATAATTGTAATTTGGAAATCTAATCTTTAGTAATAATACTATATTATTCAGTTTAATCCATTTTGTTCATATTATAAAAATTTTTTATAAATGTTTATAAAACAATAGTAAATAACTTTTTAAGTATAATTTTTTATAAATAAAATAATTTTTATTATAATTAATATCATAATTATGATTTTCATATTTTTAATATTAAATAATAATGCAATATATAATAAATAAAATATTTACCATTATTAATAATATAAATTCTCAGATGAAAGATCGTGTCAGGACAAACCACAATCCGACTACTGTCTGACTCAATGAATGGTCAGATCACTGTGATACGCCATATTATTATTTCTAGGTATATAATATCTGTTTTAAGTATCATAGGTGACAAAGTTAATACTATAGTACTCAGAATACTCGGTTAAAACATAAATATCACTAAAATCGTTCTTAACTTAGATAAATTTTATTTTACTTGCTAGATACTAAATAAAGAAGATGGAAAATTGATTAAAATTTATTTACAAATTTACTTGTTTCATATACATATTTAAAAATGTTATATATTAATAATATATAACAATTAATCAATTACTTACTTACTATTATAAACAAATGAATATATTTCTATAAATATAAGGAAATGAATAATAAATTTGATTAAATTTATCATTAAAATATTTATTGTAATAATAAAAATTATAAAACGAAATATTATAAAAATATATATATGTAAATATTTAAATATGTAAATATATTTTATAATTATTAGTCACATTTCAAAGTTAAGATTGTTCCTTTTTAAGTCCTTTTGGACTAGAAAGTGTAATTAATTGTACTCTTCGAGGAGTTTTACTAGGGATTATTAATGGTATCTCTGATTTTTGAGATATATTTACTTTAATAACTTCATTAGTACTTTCTTCATTATAAACTAATTTAATATCTTCAGTCTCTTCAATTTCCATTTTATTATCTAAGTCTTTTTTTTGTTTAATTGTGTGATTTAATAATTTATTATTTTCATTTATGATATTTTGTGAATTTTCATTGAGAATTTTTTTTATTTCATGTTTTATGTCAATATCTATAGCACTATTATCTATATCAGCAGTGGCTGCAAGTTTTTCAGATACATTTTTAATATTAAAACTTGATGTTGTAAATTGTTTAAAATTATTAATACTATCAGATTTTGTTGGAATATCACTTTGTTTTTTATATTCTTGACCTAATTCACCTTTTTGAAAATGTATTATAGAACAATAACCATCTGTTGAAGATGCAATTAAAATTCTACCATCATCTGACCTAAAAATGATAAATAAATAAATTTTTTTTTCATTTAATAATATTAAATAATCATTTCTTACCATGCAACATCAGTTAATCTAGTATAATGAATATTTGATATTACAGCAATTGGTGAAATTTGTTGAGTATCATATATCATTATTGAATGCTGTGTTGCAACAGCAAATACCATTCGATAAGGCAAAGCTATCATTGGTGTTGGACCATCATTTTGTAATTCAAAATAAAGTGGACAACATCGAACTGCAATAGTACATTCATCTAAAGAAGGTAGAAGTACAAGAGGTCTGAAAATAAAATTATTATAAATTATTATAAAATATATTGTGTTATATATTATATTATATATCAATAAACTTACTCTTTTAAATTATATCTTGAAAAAATTAAAGTTGTATTAGATACCCTTTCTGATGTTTCTATAGCCTCAATTATACCAGAAGGTACAATAAGTAATAATCCATCTATAGAAAATGTTAATCTTCTAAAGAATGACTTAAAAGTATCATCATAAAATAAGCGTACTATTTTATCTTTTATTGGATGATTTGTTCGAGTTGGAATTTTTGTCTTATATACCCGTTGTACTGTTTTTTTAGTATTTATATCAATTAAACGGCATATTCTATAAATGTATAATTTGATTATATATAAATATGTTAAAGATAACAAAAATATTATTAAAATTGAATACCTATCTGTACTTATTGTACATATATATTGATTACAAGGATCCCATGAAACACCTTGTACAAAACCTTTATGATCAGATAATATTGCTACAGAACGTCCTTTGTGAATATCCCATAAAATGGCTGTATTATCTACAGATCCAGAAACTAACATATTAGAATTTGGAGACCAACTGATGTCATAGACATCCTCAAGATGTCCTCTTAATACTTTCCAAGAAATCCATTGTTCTTTATCTTTAGTTTCTTCAGAAGTAATAAAAAATTCGCAATCCTCCTTTTGTTTCCATAAAACTATAGTTGATTCTATAAAATATATTTTAATTTACTTTTTTTAATTAATCTTTCATAATATATTTTTTGCTAACCATCATCTCCTGAAGCTAAAATACTTTTTGATGGTGAAAATCGCACTACATTTACTGCCCTTTGATGCCGTTCTAAATCAGCAACGCACTTCACAATAGCACCTCCATTTTCATTCATTGTTAAATGCCATATCTAATTTAAAAAAATAATTCAAAATCATATTCACATATTATATTTGAATATGATAAATGATAAATTATTTGTATAATATTACCAAAATATGTGAATCAGCACCTCCGGTTACAACTCGCCAAAAAATTTCATCTTTTGATGTTTTATAAATTCCATTTTGTATATCAATACTCAAAACTGGATCACGATTATGCCATGAAATTTCAGGCGTTGTACACCACATAGTTTTAATTTAGAAATGTGATATAATAATATAAAAAATTATATTAAGATAATAAAAAAGATAAATAATAAGTTGCATTTAACCCGTTACAAGATATTACATTGTTCCCGCCGGAACATGTGATTTTTTAAAATCCAATCTTAATTAGCTGTTTACTTTTCTCTAGTTAAATATCACTAGTGGTAATACAATGAGAAAAATTAGAAACATTTATTGAAAAAAATTTATATAAAAAATTGAACATAAATAAATTTATTTTATATTTTTCTGAAAATAATATTTCAAATGATTATAAATTATTTATGTTACAAAAAATTAATTGATATATTATATATGCAAGAAAGATTAATAAATTTAGTATTATAAAAGATTGTAAAAATATTTCATTGTACATATTTTAAATTATTTGATTAGATATGAAAAATTTAAGTTAAGTAAACGATTATGAAATATATTGTACATTGTACATTGTACATCCGGTAGTATTAATATATATGTGTCTCCCTCTGAAGACTCAAAGAGAATATATGGAAAACATGAACACAAAAATGGTGGGTACTGAAAATGATAATCACGATCGTGAGGAAATAGATATCAAAGAAAATATGGATAACAATCGACAAAATGGAGAAGTAATTTCTACAGAAAACAACGAGGAGAGAGATGTGTGTTAATTATGTTATCTTATATTCTCTTATTTTATAATTCATTTGAAAATACTTATATTTTATTAAAATTAATAGGTTTAATTTCACATATATTTCAT